TTGTCTTGTTTCTGATCTTAGTGGAAATGCTTTCAGTTTTTCACCATTGAGGATGATGTTGGCTGTGGGTTTGTCATATATGGCCTTTATTATGTTGAGGAAGGTTCCCTCTGTGCCTAACTTCTGCAGGGTTTTTATCATAAATGGGTGTTGAATTTTGTGAAAAGCTTTCTCTGCATCTATTGAGATAATCATATGGTTTTTCTCCTTCAGTTTGTTAATATGGTGTATCACATTGATTGATTTGCGTATATTAAAGAATCCTTGCATTCCTGGAATAAACCCCACTTGATCATTGTGTATGATCCTTTTAATGTGCTGTTGGATTTTTTTTGCTTGTATTTTGTTGAGGATTTTTGCATCTATGTTCATCAGTGATATTGGCCTGTAGTTTTCTTTCTTTGTGACATCCTTGTCTGGTTTTGGTATCAAGGTGATGGTGGCCTTGTAGAAAGAATTTGGGAGTGTTCCTCCCTCTGCTATATTTTGGAAGAGTTTGATAAGGATAGGTATTAGCTCTTCTCTAAATGTTTGTTAGAATTAGCCTGTGAAGCCATCTGATCCTGGGCTTTTGTTTGTTGGAAGATTTTTAATCACAGTTTCAATTTCAGTGCTTGTGATTGGTCTGTTCATATTTTCTATTTCTTCCTGATTCAGTCTTGGCAGGTTGTGCCTTTCTAAGAATTTGTCCATTTCTTCCAGGTTGTCCATTTTATTGGCATAGAGTTGCTTGTAGTAATCTTTCAGGATCTTTTGTATTTCTGCAGTGTCAGTTGTTACTTCTCCTTTTTCATTTCTAATGCTATTGATTTGAATCTTCTCCCTTTTTTTCTTGATGAGTCTGGCTAATGGTTTATCTATTTTGTTTATCTTCTCAAAGAACCAGCTTTTAGTTTTATTGATCTTCGCTATCGTTTCCTTCATTTCTTTTTCATTTATTTCTGATCTGATTTTTACATTTCTTTCCTGCTGCTAACTTTGGGGTTTTTTTGTTCTTCTTTCTCTAGTTGCTTTAGGTGCAAGGTTAGTTTGCTTATTTGAGATGTTTCCTGTTTCTTAAAGTGGGCTTGTGTTGTTATAAACTTCCCTCTTAGAACTGCTTTTGCTGCATCCCATAGGTTTTGGGTCGTCGTGTCTCCATTGTCATTTGTTTCTAGGTATTTTTTTAATTTCCTCTTTGATTTCTTCAGTGATCACTTTGTTATTAAGTAGTATATTGTTTAGCCTCCATGTGTTTGTATTTTTTACACATCTTTTCCTGTAATTGATATCTAGTCTCATAGTGTTGTGGTCGGGAAAGATACTTGATACAATTTCAATTTTCTTAAATCTACCAAGGCTTTATTTGTGACCCAAGATATGATCTATCCTGCAGAATGTTCCATGAACACTTGAGAAAAATGTGTATTTTGTTGTTTTTGGATGGCATGTCCTATAAATATCAATTAAGTCCATCTTGTTTAATGTATCATTTAAAGCTTGTGTTTCCTTATTTATTTTCATTTTGGATGATTTGTCCATTGGTGAAAGTGGGGTGTTAAAGTCCCCTACTATGAATGTGTTACTGTCGATTTCCCCTTTTATGGCTGTTAGTATTTGCCTTATGTATTGAGGTGCTTCTATGTTGGGTGCATAAATATTTACAATTGTTATATCTTCTTCTTGGATCAATCCCTTGATCATTATGTAGTGTCCTTCTTTGTCTCTTCTAATAGTCTTTATTTTAAAGTCCATTTTATCTGATATGAGAATTGCTACTTCAGCTTTCTTTTGGTTTCCATTTGCATGAAATATCTTTTTCCATCCCCTTACTTTCAGTCTGTATGTGTCTCTAGGTCTGAAATGGGTCTCTTGTAGACAGCAAATATATGGGTCTTGTTTTTGTATCCATTCAGCCAATCTGTGTCTTTTGGTGGGAGCATTTAGTCCATTTACATTTAAGGTAATTATCAATATGTATGTTCCCATTCCCATTTTTTTAATTGTTTTGGGTTCGTTATTGTAGGTCTTTTCCTTCTCTTGTGTTTCTTGCCTAGAGAAGTTCCTTTAGCATTTGCTGTAAAGCTGGTTTGGTGGTGCTGAACTCTCTCAGCTTTTGCTCGTCTGTAGAGGTTTTAATTTCTCCTTCAAATCTGATTGAGATCCTTGCTGGGTAGAGCAATCTGGGTTGTAGGTTTTTCTCCTTCATCACTTTAAATATGTCCTGCCAGTCCCTTCTGGCTTGCAGAGTTTCTGCTGAAAGATCAGCTGTTAACCTTATGGGGATTCCCTTGTGTGTTATTTGTTGTTTTTCCCTTGCTGCTTTTAATATGTTTTCTTTGTATTTAATATTTGACAGTTTGATTAATATGCGTCTTGGCATTTTTCTCCTTAGATTTATCCTGTATGGGACTCTCTGTGCTTCCTGGACTTGATTAACTATTTCCTTTCCCATATTAGGGAAGTTTTCAACTATAATCTCTTCAAATATTTTCTCAGTCCCTTTCTTTTTCTCTTCTTCTTCTGGAACCCCTATAATTCGAATGTTGGTGCATTTAATGTTGTCCCAGAGGTCTCCGAGACTGTCCTCAGTTCTTTTCATTCTTTTTTCTTTATTCTGCTCTGCAGTAGTTATTTTCCACTATTTTATCTTCCACGGCACTTATCTGTTCTTCTGCCTCAGTTATTCTGCTCTTGATCCCATCTAGAGTATTTTTCATTTCATTTATTGTGTTGTTCATCATTGTTTGTTTCATCTTTAGTTCTTCTATGTCCTTGTTAACTGTTTCTTGCATTTTGTCTATTCTATTTCCAAGATTTTGGATCATCTTTACTATCATTATTCTGAATTCTTTTTCAGGTAGACTGCCTATTTCCTCTTCATTTGTTAGGTCTGGTGGGTTTTTATCTTGCTCCTTCATCCGCTGTGTGTTTTTCTGTCTTTTCATTTTGCTTATCTTACTGTGTTTGGGGTCTCCTTTTTGCAGGCTGAAGGTTCGTAGTTCTTGTTGTTTTTAGTGTCTGTCTCCAGTGGCTAAGGTTGGTTCAGTGGGTTGTGTAGGCTTCCTGGTGGAGAGGACTAGTGCCTGTGTTCTGGTGGATGAGGCTGGATCTTGTCTTTCTGGTGGGCAGGTCCACGTCTGGTGGTGTGTTTTGGGGTGTCTGTGGACTTATTATGATTTTAGGCGGCCTCTCTGCTAATGGGTGTGGTTGTGTTCCTGTCTTGCTAGTTGTTTGGCATAGGATGTCCAGCACTGTAGCTTGCTGGTCGTTGAGTGAAGCTGGGTGCTGGTGTTGAGATGGAGATATCTGGGAGTTTTTCGCCATTTGATATTATGTGGAGCTGGGAGGTCTCTTGTGGACCAGATGTCCTGAAGTTCGCTCTCCCACCTCAGAGGCACAGCACTGACTCCTGGTTGCAGCACCAAGAGCCTTTCGTCCACATGACTCAGAATAAAGGGGAGAAAAAGTAGAAAGAAAGAATTAGTAGAAGTAGAAAGAAAGAAAGAAGGGAGGTAGGGAGGGAGGAAGGAAGGAAGGAAGGAAATAAAGAAAGAAGATAAAGTAAAATAAAATATAATAAAATTATTAAAATAAAAAAATAATTATTAAGAGAAAAAAAAGAAAAGAAAAATTAAAAAGAAAGCAAAACAAAACAAAACAAAATGGACGGATAGAACCCTAGGACAAATAGTGCAAGCAAAGCTGTACAGACAAAATGTCACACAGAAGCATATACATACACACTCACAAAAAGAGGAAAACGGGAAAAAATCATAAATCTTGCTCTCAACGTCCACCTCCTTAATTTGGGATGATTCGTTGTCTATTCATGTATTCCACAGATGCAGGGTACATCAAGTTGATTGTGGAGCTTTAATCCGCTGCTTCTGAGGCTGCTGGGAGAGATTTTCCTTTTTCTTCTTTGTTCTCACAGCTCCCAGGGGCTCAGCTTCGGATTTGGCCCTGCCTCTGCGTGTAGGTTGCCGGAGGGCGTCTGTTCTTCGCTCAGACAGGACGGGGTTAAAGGAGCCGCAGATTCGGAGGCTCTGGCTCACTGAGGCCGGGCGGGGGAGGGAGGGGCGTGGAGTGCTGGGCGAGCCTGCGGCTGCAGAGGCCGGCATGACGTTGCACGAGCCTGAGGCGCACCGTGAGTCCTCCTGGAGGAGTTGTCCCTGGATCCCGGAAACCTGGCAATGGCGAGCTGCATAGGCTCCCCGGAAGAGGGGTTGTGGATAGTGACCTGTGCTCGCACACAGGCTTCTTGGTGGCGGCAGCAGCAGCCTTAGCGTCTCATGCCCGTGTCTGGGGTCCATGCTTTTAGCCGCGGCTCGCGCCCGTCTCTGGGGGCTCCTTTAAGTAGCGCTCTTAATCCCCTCTCCTCGCGCACCAGGAAACAAAGAGGGAAGAAAAAGTCTCTTGCCTCTTCGGCAGGTCCAGACTTTTCCTCGGACTCTCTCCCGGCTAGCCGTGGCGCACTAACCCCCTGTGGGGTGTGTTCACGCTGCCAACCCCAGTCCTCTCCCGGCGCTCCGACCGAAGCCCAAGCGTCAACTCCGAGCCCCACCCGCCCCGGCGGGTGAGCAGACAAGACTCTCGGGCTGGTGAGTGCCCGTTGGCCCTGATCCTCTGTGCGGGAATCTCTCCGCTCTCCTCCGCGGCTCCGAAGCTTCACCCCTCTGCCACCCCCAGTCTCCGCCCGCGAAGGGGCTTCCTAGTGTGTGGCAACCTTTCCTCCTTCATAGCTCCCTCCCACCGGTGCAGGTCCCGTCCCTATCCTTTTGTCTCTGTGTATTCTTTTTTCTTTTTCCCTTCCCAGGTACGTGGGGGGTTTCTTGCCTTTTGGGAGGTTTGAGGTCTTCTGCCAGCGTTCAGTAGGTGTTCTATAGGAGTTGTTCCATGTGTAGATGTATTTCTGATGTATCTGTGGGGAGGAAGGTGATCTCTGCGTCTTTCTCTTCTGCCATCTTCCCGGAAGCCTATTTTTAGTTTTTTAAGGAATCTCCATACTGTTTTCCATAGTGGCTTCACCAATTTACATTCCCACCAACAGTGTAGGAAGGTTCCCTTTTCTTCTAAAGTGTGATCATTTTTAATTTTAGTCATATAAGTTTCAAAATTTAATTCTGGAAGAATCCTGAGAGGTTATTATTCTGGGCTCAGCAGTTCACCAGTAGAACTTTTTGTGAAAATGTTCGTTATGCACCATCTGACATACGTGGTTGGGGAGCGCTTGAAATGTGACACGTGTGACCAAGGAATTGAATTTTAAATTATATCGAATTTTAATTATTAAAAGTTAGATTTAAATAGCCATATGTGACTAGTGGCTACTGTATTGAACAACTCAGTTCTACCTTTGCACAGACTTAGTTAAGTCTCAACTAATAATACAACAATTTTTTTTCTTTTGTAAGTGCCTTTTTTTCCATGAAAAGTAAGACTAGAATTATTGAGTAATGTGGAAATAGATATAGATTCCTCTGCCTTAGACTACCTACTTTATCAAATGGAATAATTTAAAGGAGAAAATCAGCCCTGCCTTTTGACTACTAAGTGATCCTAGGCAATGGCATTTCTGTATTATTGACACGGAGGGAGCCTTCCTATAGGGACCTTCCATGGCTTGTATTTGGTAGAGATGTAGAGTTCACAGCACATTTTCTCAATTTTTTTTTTTTTTCCAGAAAAAATCCCTTGTATTATTATCATTCTCATGTTAGGGGTGCAGAGGCTGAGCTACAGTGACCTGCCAGTTTTATCAGCATGAGTGTGAGGAGAGAGGAGGAGGCGGTCTGGTTCAGTTCACACAAAACGTTTCCTAGGGACTCATTGCTTGTGGCAGGTACTGTTATGTGCAGAAGATTCAGAGAGGAATAAAATAAAGCTCTCCTCTCTTGGATATTTTGGGTGCTCTCCCCTGAGGGAGGGAGAAGAGTGAGGCTGGCTGTGGACAGTCACATCACCTCTCTAGGAGACTACTTACTAACCGTTCTCTCCGTCTGGGTGTCAGCAGCCCACCCCCCTTCTTCTAAGCCTGGTGGGCACTCTGCCAGTCCTTATTCCACTGACCTGCACTTTCTATTAAGGCTTGTCTGCATCTCACCATATCTTCAAAACTCACCCCTTTTTAAAATAAATCCTCCTTCTTGAATTATCTGGTAAATGTCATCTGGTTCTGGTTGGGACACAGTGTGATACATCCCCTCCTTCTAATTGAACTGTTTCTGGGGGTATATCTCCTCTCTTCTTGGGTTGGGTGGAACAGCAGCACCAAGGTCTCTGTTCTTGAACACTGGCTGACACATGGAGTGTGATACTGTAGATTCCAGCACTCTAGATGCCCAGCATGCTGGGATCCTTAACCCCATCACAAGAGATGCCTCTGTGTTGAGCTGTGGGTTTAAATTGAGGCAGCATACCTTGGCAAATTATTCCATTATGATATATCTAACAGAAGAAATATTTAAATTTATCAACGATGTGATAACAAATTCTGTTAACAGGTATAACTTTATTTATTGACCAACCATAGAAGGATTTCATTTATAGAGTGGGTGGTCAATAAATGATTTTGTTGATGACTAAGTTTGGATTTATTCTTAAATTATGATGCATTGTAAATACATACCAGAAATGAACAAATATATTAATTAAGAGGTCAGTATATTAACATTATTTAATATATCTGAATCACATGATTGTATTTTAACACAGATCTATTAATCTTTACTTAGATTATCATCAGGAAACACTTTTAGTCTTTTAAATAATGTAATTGAAGTAGCTGCCTATTTTATACTAAATGATTATTAGAGTATGATGTGTCATACACTGTGGTAGGTACTAGGATTAAAGTGGTAAACAGGTAGACACTGTTTGCATTTGCGGAATGTATATTTTATTGGGTAAGATGTATGCCAAAGGAATAATTTGCAAGTAATTTATGTATTGCAATTGTTGCATAGTTATATGGTTTTTGTTTCCTTTTCCCCTTCCTCATTCTACAACCCCTCCCCCACCCGACCTGGAGCCTGACTGATATTGAGACCAAGAAAACAGGGTATTTTTTTGGAAATTTGACTCAAGGAGGAGACAGATATTCTTTAGCATAATAAAGTGCAGGAGATACACTAAAAGGTATTAATCTTGGTAGTATGAAGATGATAATGGCTTTTTACTGAGGCTCTAAAAGACTGACCTCAGTGAAAATTGTTTTCCCTTCTCTTCTCTCAGTGATGAAAATCTCTGGAATAATATGGCAATGAAACATAAAGGAGCTGAACAAGAAGAGATCCAGTGACAGAGTCTGGGTGTCTGCTTGAAGGAGTTGAGAGTGAGGAGAAAAGAGGCATAAAGGGAATCAGAGGCTGTGGAAGGAAGGAGATACTTTTATGCTTACATCTGGTTGGCCATATGGGAATGCCATGAATCTAGAGGAGCTGGGTGTGGAACCAGCTTTCAAGACAGTCCTCAATGACTCTAGCCCCCTCGTATTCACGTCCTTTTGTAGTCTCCTCCCACATTGGAAAAGGCTGACTTGTATAACCAATAGGATATTGTAGAAATGATTGTGTCTTTGGAGTTGATGTTATAAAAGATATGTGGCTTCTGTCCTGTTCTTTTGGACCACTCGGTCTGGGAGAAGCCAGCTGCTATGTTGTGAGGACTCTCAAGCAGCTCTATGGAGAGGTCAATAAGTGAGACCACATGAGTGAGAAATCCTGGAAATGGATCTTCTAGCGTCAGTCAAGTTTTCAGATGACTACAGCCTGGGCTCATATCTTGCCTGTGAAATCAAGAGACCCTGAGCCAGAACCACCTGCTGAGCTTCTTCTGAATTACTGACTCAAAGAAACTGTGAGTAATAAATCTGTGTTGTTTTAAATTACTGTGCATTGGAGTAATTAATTATGTAACAATAGATAACTAATACACTGAGAAGTGAATTAAATAGAATCCATTCCAAGTTTCCACTGCCCTGTGAATTCTGTAGGAGTTGAACATGTTCTAATGTGAACTATTTGTTTGTTCTTTTGAATTCTGTGTCTGCTTGAGTAGCTCAAAGCAAGCCTTTAGGAAAATGAACTATACTTTTCCACCCTTCATGATAAAGGATGTGATGTTCCGGTTACAATTTTAAGTGCTGAAAGGAGAAATCCAGGGGACAATGAAAGAACATAACTCATTGATAGTGTTACTGCTTACGTGTAAGAATAATGCAGGTGTGAGGGACTGAGTAATCTGAACAAAACTATGCTGTGTGCACCTGTCTTAAGAATCACCAGCATGCTGTTTTTCCTGCTGGAAGTATCTGTGTTCTTCTTTCCTCAGTTCCACTGACCTTTTCTTTTCTTTTTTTTTTTAAAAACATTTATTTAAATCCATTTCTATCGTAATTTGGATCATATTTTTGCCTCTCTACCCCTTTGAAAAACAACTTTGTTGCTCTCTCTTTTGGTAATAGAATATTCTAAAGCCCTCTATTTGTATTCTACATTATCGCTTCATTTCAAAACCCAAATCCTTAAAATTGGCGTTGCTTAGCAAATTAACGACTTATTCCATAGTGATACCTTGTTATGTTTTCTATTGTTTAATGTAACACTTTGGCCATTGCATAAAGGAATATGTACCAATGAATCTAATTGAAATACCATCCTGAGTTCCTCTTTAAGTAGAAAAAAGCCTATTAAAATTAATTAATTACAAAAACCCCACTGTATTCAGCAAGGCAATTTCAAGCAGAGTGATACCACTATCTCCCTTGCTCAGATGTTGCTATTTACACATTTAACATCCTGAACCACTATGGAGATTTTAAAACTATTTAAGCATTAGCATAAAGCTGGCATGTGAACCGGATATATCTGCCTATTGCTTTTACATATTTGACTCCTTCTCTCCTTTGCCATCAAACTCAGAAATCTTCACTAGTTCTAGGTAGATTATATTATTAAGGAAAGTCGGGTTCTGGCGCCCCCTTGTGTAGAAATGCTCCAGGTGTTAGTCTTATTGGCAGCTCAGTTGTAGTTTGTTTAGGGAAATGTGGAAGGATGAATCATTTTTCCATTTATTTATGCAACATGATTTGAATTTCTGAAACAATGTGACTTACTTCTTGCTCAGTTATAAGACTGAGGAACTGAGATAAATTTTATTAAAGCAAACATGAGACATTATAAAAACTCTTGATAAAACAATTAAATTCCTACTAAATTTTGATTTGTTAGATGGAATCATTTGTTCTCACTTGTACTGATAATAATTAATTGCCAAAATACCATTGACTAAATTCACTAAAGGGGAGTCTTCCATTCACCGTTTATCCTCTCAACTCCGGGGCCGGGACCCACCATTGTTAGGAAGAATGTCCCTGCAGACACAATTCCACAATTCATCCTAGTGCCCAATTCCTACCCTGGCATCTCCTACACAGTGGTCTACCTTGGCTTGTCCTCCACTGACATGTTACTTTTCTTTCCTGAGGTCGGAAAAAATAATTTAGTGATCCTTGAACACTTAACAAGAGTTGGAGTCTGAGTAATGGTACTGGGATAGCACAGTGCTTGTATGCCTAGACCACACAAAGCTAGGAATAAAATTAGGCTCACAACATGTAAATTATTTCTCTGATTCTGTTTATCCCTGCCTCTGTGGAACCTCCAGCTGCCTCCAGGTATCCCCATCCCAACTATTTCTGGGCGTTCCCACAAATTCCCAGAAGGGCTCACATTCAGTTCTCTTAGCCACTGTGCAGTCACATATTTTCCTCTCTTTACGCCAGATTCTGGGGATGCACAGGCTGCCTGGTGTTGCCTGTTAGTGTGGGTGTAGGCTGCTGATGAATGTGTGGTCATAATGATGCTGCCCTTGCCACGTTGAGGCCAGCTCAGGTCACTGGAGCTTTACCCTGTGGCCGGAAATGTCCGGACACTGCTGGTGTGCTGGAGCTCTAGCTACGCCAAGGCTTCACTCTGTGTTTTGATTTCTCAAATCTGTTCTGGCTTCTTCTCTGATTGTGGAAAATGTCTACCCTTGTTGTATCATCTTTCAGTGCTGACCTCTGAGCCAGGCAGCTCTCCTGTATTCCTGTTAAAGGCTCCATCTCTGCGGCTCTGGCCCGTGTCCCTGGAGGGAGGGAAGGCACAGCTGGGAGGAAGAAGGGACATCACTGGACAAAGTGAATTGCACTTGCCTGCTGTTTCTCCTCTCACTCTTTACCCAGGGCGTTTTTGTTAGAAGAAACAGTGAGCTTCACTTCTCTTTCTTACTTTGACTAAAGGCTCCCTCTTCCCAAACAGATTCCTCATAGCTCTGATTCATCTGTTTGCAGAAATGCTCAGACATGTCTGCGTCTAGGAAGAATGCAGCTCACGCTCCAGTGGGGCTCTCCCTGTATTCATTAGTGGTGAGAAGGTGATAGTGGACGGTGGTGCCAGGTTAAGAGAAAAGAAACATCTTTAGATGGAAGATGCTGGCTCTCCTCACGCTTCTAAAATGTTCTAGCAGTTATTCTTGAGGGGAGAATACATCTCATGGAAACTTGGAGGATAGTTTCAAAAGTTCTTGAACATATCATGAGAGAATAATGCTAAAAATTAGATGTTCTTGCTTTATTCTATCTTGTAACATACTTTCACCTTGTGATGTATTCAGCAAATATTACACAGAATTATTGTAAAGTTCCTGCTTACAAATATTAAGGTTACAACAGACCATATAGTCAAATGCCCCTGTAAGTGAGAAGGTGTTTTCTAAAGGGAGGTTAGCTTGACTATCCAGAAGTCTGCATAAAGACTTTTTTGTTTCTTCTATTTTTCTAGGTAATTATATCGTGCTCCTAGCACCTCCTCATTTCTGTCTCTAGCATTTTATGGTGCAATAATATAAACCTAGATCTTGTTGATATTTACAATTAGGTAGCCTGAAGACAGCACTGCTAAGTGGAGGTGGCCTGCCGTTTTTCGAATCCAGGTGCTCCACTTACCAGCCGAATAACCTTGACAAGTAACATTGGCCCTCTAAACCTCAGTTTCCTGATATATGAAGTGGGATAAATAATACTGACAGTACTTACTCATAGGTTGCAAGACTTCACTGAGGTTATTAATAAGAGCTAGGATAGTACAGGAAATGCAGTAAAGACTTGAGAAACTCTTGTCCTTACTAAAACAAAATAAAAATTTTCTCACTAAAGTGAGTTTTTATTTGCCAATTATTCCTCAGTGAAGCTGTTAATAAAAGTGAGGGAAGAAAAATTTAAGTAAAAATTGTCTGACCAAAAGAAAATGCTAAGCTTGACTCCCAAAAATTCTGAGATTTTTTTCAAAGGAAGATAAAGTTCTGGGAAAGACGGACAGAAGGTCTGTGCTTCCTTCACCACTTTATGGAAGAAGGAGTGTCTGGGGAAAACATGAATTGGGGTCATAAAGTGTCCTTTGTGATAAATTCGAATCACTGCTTTACTGTGTCTTACCTGGGTTAGCACCATCCAAAAGGTAGCCATTAGCCCCATGTGGCTACTGAGCACTTGAAATGTAGCTAATCTGAAGTGAAATGTGATATCAGTATGAAATATACATCAGATCTGAACATTTATTATAAAAATAAGTAAAATAATTTATTTGAAATTTTAAGGTATTGATTGCATGTTGGGAGTGATAATACTTTGGATATTTTTAAAGGAAATATATTAACAAAAATTAATTTTACCTGCTTTTTTAAAAGGTTTTTTCTAAATGTGGCTGCTGAAAATTTAAAAAATTATATATTTAGATTGAATTATATTTCTATAGGACAGTGCCTTTTCTTGTTGACCCAGGGATACACAGGAAGGACATAACTTCTGGAAGAAATGATACTGAGGCAGGTTACTTTTTTTTTTTTTTGCGGTACGCGGGCCTCTCACCGCTGTGGCCTCTCCCGTTGCGGAGCACAGGCTCCGGACGCGCAGGCTCAGCGGCCATGGCTCATGGGCCCAGCCGCTCCGCGGCATGTGGGATCTTCCCAGACCGGGGCACGAACCCGTGTCCTCGGCATCGGCAGGCGGACTCTCAACCACTGCTCCACCAGGGAAGCCCCAAGGCAGGTTACATTTTTAATGTCAGAGTATTCCCATTAAATTTGTAAAATTTTTATATATCCAGTTCTCAGAAGAGTAAACTCTGGATTTAGATATTATGGCTTCAAATATAGACACCATCATTGACTATCTGTATGATCTTGAACAAGTGTCTGAATCTCAGCTTTTTCCCCTCCCCCTCCAACCATAGGGGTGATATTATTACCTAGGTCCAGAATCTCAGATGTTCAAGAATACATGCTTTTACCTTTCCATAACTGAAATTAATTTCTATTATGAATGCTCAGTCCATCTATTGGTGAAAACAATCTCAGTCCTTTCAGAGTTCACGTTCCCCCATATATAAAAATGCACCCTTTCCTCTAAGTAGTACACAGGTAAGGGAGGAAGAGCATATGATCAGCTGGGTCATTCTCTTGCCTGTCTGGGGTTTAGATATCAAAGTTGCTATTTCTTCCTCATCCCAATTGCAAGGGCTCTTCAGGCACCCTAGTTTTCTCTTCCATGTAGACACACTTTAGGGTTTATGGAAAACAATCATCCAGTTACAAAACCTACCTTCTAGGTACATTAACAGGAATAAACAAGATGATCCATGTAAAGTGTTTAGCACAATGCCTAAACAAATTAAGCACCTAGTAAAGGTAATTATTATTATTAATATTGTTGATGCTGTTGCTCTTGTTCTCAGCCAATGCATGTTGGGTTTCCAGAGATCTGGTTGCCAGAAAAGAGGTGGGTGAGGTTACCATTTTCTTTTGCTCCTTTTTTAGTA